ACTAAACATTTAAAACCAAGTTTGAAAAAGTTTAAAAACAAAAAGTGAAATTCAAAGACAATAACAACATTTTATGTCAATTGATGCAGTGCTGGGCTTATTTAGAACTTTTAACTCTGTGGAGGAATCCTTTGTGAGAGGCTGTTCAGATGAAAATGTGTCAAGTTCTGAGATTCACTTACATGTACTGTAATTATGCATGGCTAAAAATCCTACTGTGGATTTGTTATACAGTCAGGCATTTCAGCTCAATAAACCCATATTTATACAAGGTATACATTTGTACGTGTATCCACAAAACATTATAATTATACAGTATGCAATAAACAATATTGACATAAACTAGATGCAAGACTTCCCGACAGGTCAGCTATACTAAAAACAATGCTTTGCACAATATTCTTGGTTATTGGCCTGACAGTCTCAATATATGTAATATGAAAAATTCTCCTTGGCAATCAATTTGCTTGTGTAGTTGTGAGAATGTACTAATTTAGTAATCATCATAGAGTGAAATAGTAACATCATCCTCCTAGCTCATGCTTTTCCTTATTCTCAACACCTGTCTGCTTATCAATGTATGGATAATGTTATGAGAAATAAGCTGTTGAACACTTGAAAATTAAAGTAAAATGGTTTGGAACAAAAAACAGATTTAAAAAATTAAAACTCTGATTATAAGTGTACTTAGTTATTTTTTAGGAAACAAAATTTATAAGATCACTAGCTAATATTTAAGATACATGTATTTTATTCTGAAAATGGAAACAGCACATTTCTGTCAAAACAACAACATGGCTTCAAACTCAATCAGCAGAATGAACAACCATGAGATGTCCAACAGGTGACCAACACCTGTTATTCTGTCAGCTTTATTTTGGCAATACATGTATCCTAATTGGAAATTCCTGTCTGAACAAAACCAAACACCAAATATCTCACCGTACATTCCATTTCCCTTCATGCCTCTTAACAATTTGCACAACATTTTGAACAGCAGTGAAATAAAAAGAAGCAGTTCTGTGAATTTCAGAAGTTTTGTTCTGTGTTTGACTGCCCAAAAGGTATAGTTTTTCCCTTAAGGCGGCCACGCCCTAACTCCACCCTGTATATTCAGATGTAAACAATAATTAGAGCAAGCTTCACACAAAATGAAGTAAACTGAACACAATAGGGCTTCCACACCCTTGGGCAAATAACACAGCTATAAAAGGTTGGGGTGTTTATACAACAAAACACTTATTGCATGCCTGATACTGCGGAGAGAAATGCTGAGGAAGGGATAGCACTTGGGTACCACTAAAAGACTTTCTGAGGTTCAGTAAGTAAA